GTTCAACTCAGCAGGCAGGTGATGTAGAGGAGAGAATGAAGAGAGTGGGAGCCCAAGCATGTGTTATCACTGTTTGTAGCTATAGATCTGACACATTCCCTCTCAGAATTTCTCCACTTACCCACGCTCTTCCCAAGGAATCTTAAAATCCAAACTGCTTCCAAACATAGGGAAGTATAGATGAGAAATACAATCATATTCCCAACTTCACAACCTCGAGTGAAAGTACCATCTAGAGAAAGGGTGTTTACTAGACAGAATCCTCCTTTGAACTGTCATGAGTACATAGATTTACTTGCTTGTAGTCAGGCTTTTAGTCTTCAAGACTGATCAAAACCACACTTTTTTAGTGTAAAAGTTAAGAAATGCACTTGGAAACAGGTAACAAAATGTATACCTTTGCCATCAAACTTGTTCTAGAAATCACCCCTCTTGAAGTTCTGTGCCGCCACTGACCATACTGGTGTTTTGTAGGGAGGTTTAACTTTGAGAAATCAGCATCTTCGTGAGATTTTACACACTACTTCTCTTAACATTAATGCTGAGTTCTTTTGACAATGAAAACTAAGAGTGGAAGATCCTTCTGTTGATGCTTCAAAATAACAAAATTTACAGAGGTGATGTTGTACTTTATTGCAAGGCCACATTTTTAGATTTGAAGCTAAAAAAATCTTTCCTAGATGGGATGTTAAGTTTGATATCCTCTTACAGAAGTCAAATTCTTCCCATGTCCTCCCACAAATAGACTTCACACCCACACGGGTATGTGACATGTACCCACACTCACTCAGCTTAGCAGTGCCAACATGCACCCTATTACCTCCTTCAATTTCTACATTTTTAACATTTTTTTGCACCTTCACAGAAGGATTTGACTGTTTTTCAAACACCAAAATAGCTTTAAAGTGGTGGTTTAGTGTGCATTCTCGTTAGGATTCAACTGCAATGCATGGCACTTTCTGCAGACCCAGATACTAAAGAAACATTATTGAAATAAATAAAATGGAAGAATTTTTATTTGTGAAGCAGAATTGTGTAAACTTGGCTGGATGTTATCTAATGAAAATGTTTCTCAACTCCTGCTTGTTTTTTTGTTGTCGCTTCTAGAGCTGTGTCGTTGGTACTTCTACTCTGGAAAGATTTAACCTGTTCATTTATGTTTCTCTAAAGCTTTAAAGTTCAGAGTGGTGGATCACAAGACTGGGTGAGTTTTTCCATAATCTTCTCAATAAAAACAGACTCCTTATAAGACCTGATGCCTCTGTGATCTTTGACTGATGAGTATTTGTACCCTAACATTTAACTAACTCACCAACTGCATGTCCTACCATTTATATTTTGTACTAGTAGTGAGAAAGGTGTAAATTCTCAAAGGTGCATTGAGGTTTTATATCTCACTCTGGCAGTTCCTATGTATATCACTTCATCTAGCTGAAGTGACCAAGTGTATGTTACACTGACTTCAAGGATATGGAAATTACCTCATTGAATGTATGTCAGCTGTGCTCCCTGATCTCTGAGGAAATACTGAATAAAATGTAAATATGCCTGCGGTGTCTGATGTCAGCCATGATCTGCTCTCCCTGATTTAGATTTCTATATTTCATTTGAATTCACACTGCATTAACCATATGTGAGGAGCGCATTATGTGAGGATTTAGGTGTTGCTTATCCTTCTTTTTTTTAGCAGTGGAGTAATCCAATATTTTATATCACTAGTTTCTCTCCTGCACTGTGCTTGTTCCAAATTTATGCAGATGTGGAAAGCTGAATAATTGGTCAATGCCTGTACTGACATCCATGTCTCAGAACACAGACTCAACCTACCTCTCAAAAAATGGGGACAGAAATAGGAAATACGAGGGTGTCCCCATAGAGAGAAGAAAACCAGAAGGAATTTGGGCATTATACAAGTAGACGAGTGACATGAAATAATTTGAAAATTCTTTCATCAATTCGTTTTCTCTCCTTCAAAGGGAAAATAATTGTTTTGTGTTAACTACTTTCATTGTATTTCCTGTCAGATTGACTTCACTTAAAGATTTGAAGTAAAACAACAGTAGACAATTGAGTTCTGAAGCAGAGCTGACTTTAGTATTATTGGGACAATATGTCCAAGTGGGTCTACTCAAGTACTTCTTGAAATTCACCAGTATTTCATTTTCATTAAGAAAAAGGAGGTGGCAAAAATTATGCCTATTTAAACAGTCCCATTCCTATGTCCTCCCATGAAGGTTTCTTGTTTGTTTACTTTAAATATTTTTGTATGTTACACATTATAAAAAAAGCTAAGATAAAATAGAACTATTTTAATGTTGTTTAAACAGAAGGTTTTGAAAGAAATAAAACAGCTTGTACTATTTCTTTCAAAAATAAATGAAATTGTCAGGGTTTGTGCTGATTCTTAACACAGCCAAGTTTTGAAATTATTAAATACAGCATTCCTACTCCTGGTACTGGATTTGTCATGAATTTCAGCTTGATTCTGCTTTTGTTGCTGCTGACCACACAGGGCCGTGTTGACCTCAACCTAATCCCCTTTAGCAAATTCTTCCACTGCAATATTTTTCTCTTTAGCTTTGTAAATTCAAGTTCCTGCTCATTACTGTTCAGTTATTCTTTTGGCTGAGCATTGCATAGAACTTAGAGAACAAGACTGTTTTAATTCCTTTTTCCTCTTTCCAGTCAGATGGCTGCCTTAAAGCAATCTGTTTTGATGAAAAACAGGGTTGCTTTTAAGATATGAGTTTTTCTTTTTTTCCACTCCCATAATTTTTGATGGCACCTGGGGTAGGGAGGCCTGTTGCCTGCAAGAAGGAATGTTATATATGTGGTGCTTGTGAGAGAGGCAGCACACAGGAATGGAATGTGGAAAATTGTCTTGTCTTGCTTTTCCTTTTCCCATTTACTTTTGCTTGCTTGTGTCTACAGCCCTTTCCTTCCCTCAGTTCTTTAGTAGGGTTTGGGGTTTTTTTCTTTCTTTTCTTCCTTCTTTTTTTTAGACTCTTTAGAAGAACTTTTAGGAAAGCTAGTGCAATTTATGCTAGCAATCATCCCGGAGGGGCAGGGACTAATTGTTCTAATTATTACTTGGGGTCATATGGGGAGATTTAAAGCCTGGAGCCAACTATAAACTAGCAGGTTAAAAATTAGCATTTTTGAATTTGAGAGGCGGCTGATAAACCCCTGTGTTGCAATGTTCTTTACTAGGAGAGAACCTGATAGAACAGGTGGAGCAAATGGAACAGAAGTATGTTTCTATTCACCTGATTTTTCAATAGGAAAATAACCTAATGAGACATGGTTGCAAGGAGATTCTACTTTGTTTAGAGAAACCATTTTTAATAGTAAGACTGCCTCATGAGAACAACAATATACAGAAGATACAAAAGGACTACCATCACTGTAGCAACATGATTTGGCTCACTGAAGCAGAACTAATTGTAAAATCAGGATCAAACTCAGAAACAGGTAATAAAAGTAATCTGAATGTCCAAAATAAGGATCAGTAGTTACTGAAGTGACAATTCAGTCATTCATGTAAGGTTTTTGCTACAGTTCAGCAGCCATGTCCAGCAGTGAAAATTTGCTTTGGTAAAGTTTTAATACCTTTAGGTTGTTCTTAAACTTTTCTAAAGTCTTTGCAGAAGTCTTTCTAGATGTTGGCATAATATCTAGTACAAATGAAAACCTTTTTGAAGACTCTTGTGGCCATTTTATCATTAATACAAATACTCATAAAAAATACAGACTGGAAATAAGTCCCTTGAGGGATCCCCATTCACCCTTCAGGAGTAAAACTGTAACAGTCTCAAACACTTAGGGAAAAAAAAAAAAGAAAAAAAGAAGGAAAAAGAAGGAGAAAAAAAACCCCACAGAAATAAAGCAGGTAAGAACTCGTTTTAGTTATTTCTGTTCGGACATGATTTTTCTTTCTTGTCTGGACAAGGTCTAAAGGTAGGTTTACACCAGTTTTGATTAATAGATTAAAACACATCCTGGTTTTCATGCCAGAGTTTTCCCTTGTATTAAGTGACAGAATGCATCCTGACATGGCAATAGGTTGCATATGTGAAATGGGAAGGAAAATTTATCTTCCAGTTTCTAATCCCTACTGTAAATCTTGTAAGCACATGTACTCACCAGAACTTTTTTTTTATATTAAGAGATAAAGAAGACTTAGCTGGTACCAGCAGGTACCAGTAAATGTAGCTTAGTTTACAGTCACCTCATTCATTAATAGCTGACTATAATGGTGGGCAGTGGGCATGAGATTCTAATGGGAAGGCAGATTGCCTGGTCTTGTCAAGGTTTAGGAAATGAGTGAGAACTTAGTCAAAAGTGTAACAGAAAAGCTGTTATGTAGGTTATGTATAATCACCAGGCTCTGTGAGGTGTTGATGTAGATTATCTCAAGCCTTCACCTCACATAAAGTGGTGCTCACACATTTAATAAGGAGACTTGATTAAAATGCCATAAACACACAGTTCTGTAGGAAAACAGAGGTTAGAGCAGCAGGAGGCATTAGAAGCAGCCAACAGAAAACTATGGGGGTGTTTTCTAAAGGTTAGAAGAAATCACTCCTGAGTAACTTCATCTTCCCTATACACATGGGAAGGATATTTTGATATTTTAACATTTCAGTTGAAACAGGCAAAAAACAAAACAACAACCAAACAAGACGACATCTGTCAGAAATGCAAGTGACAATTTCCTGTCAACAAAACATTATCTGAATTTTCATGCTTGGAGACTTTAAGACTGGTGATGTTTGAAAATAGCCTCACTCAGAGATTCAGTTGATTGTTTTCAAGCAGTCATAGAAAATCAGGCAGAAAAGGACATGGTAGAGTCATCAATTCTCCTTTCCCTGTCAAAAACAAAGAGCTACTGTAGCTACATCAGCCCTGACAGGGACTTGCAGGAGCAACTGCTACATTGAGGCAGGAGAGTCCCAACCAGAACTTTGCAGCTCTCAGGAAAACCAACTGAGCCTCACCTGCTGTGGTGAGCACAAGTAGAACACGTGTTTACTCCAGGCCTGTCACACCACAAAGGCACAGAGCAGCGAGCATCGTGCTGCCACGGCCCGAGGGGAAAGGGACAGGGACGCGGCACCACACAAAGGACTCAGATACAGCTGAGGGTCTGGGTGCAATACGAATTTATTAAGAGAACACAGGGACTTATATAGGTAAGTCTGAGGGGTGGATTCATAACTAGGGAGGTGCATGGGACTGACAACCAAGGGTGAGACAGGATTGGGAGACAGGGAAAAGGTGGGTGTGACTTGTGGGTATCCAGGGGAAGGGACCAATGGGGGCTCCCTCTGCACTGCGGCAACCATCAGCCAATCAGTGACCGAGGAGCGGGAAAGCCAGGGGGGAACAGGGGAGTAAACAACTTTTGGAGGGAAAATCTGAGGGACAAAGGGGAATAACATTAGGGTACATTAAACTTAGTATGACATCAATGATAAACTGGGGAATAACAGTCAGTCCAGTAAGATATCAGTCCATTCAAGCTCCATAAATGTCTCTCCATGCTTGAAATCTTTCCCAATCGGATTTCTTATTCTCCTCAATGTGCCTTTGGGACAGCCCTTGGGGGAGATTTTAGTGGTTGTCCTCAGGCTTGCAAAGACAGGCAAGTGTCACCTTGAGCTCTGTGTAAGAAGCTGCACACAGGACAAATTCATAAGGTCCTTTACTAAGTATTTTTTTGATTTTAATGTTTTCAGTCATGTAACCACTAAATATTCTAATAATTAGTATTGTCTTGGTAATGAATAATCTAGGATGTTCTTGCTTTATAAGAATTTGTTCTCTTAAATCTCCATTTTGTGCATACATATACATGAGTTACTACACACACATAAGTTACCACAAAAATTTCAGCTGAGATCCCCAGCAACCAAAAAGCATTAAAAAGACCACTGAATTCATGTGCAAGCTCTTCTTAAAACCCACCAGTTTTAAAGATCACATAGCCCTGACAGTCAATTGAGTTTTTATTTCTCTTTCTTTAGTTTACCTGTTTTTCTTTCTGTTTTCCTATTCTGGCATCAAAATCCCGTTACCTGCTTATTACAGATACATTGTGTCATTTGGACATTGAAAATTATATTAGTGCAAATTTGGGCCCATGCAAAGGAAGCACCAATTGAGGGTACAGTCCAGCTCTCCCTGTAATTGCTGTATCATGTGGTAAGAGATTGTGCAATGCCCTGTGCAACAAATCTGCTACTAGTACAACTGCATTGGAGTGCATATTCTCCTTCACTCACAGATGCCTTTGTTTCTTTTTCCAGAGCCAAGACATGGGTAGTAAATGGGCTGCACCATCTTGGGGGTTGGGACTTCTCTTAAAGAAGAAGGAGAGGAGCATACTTCTGCCTTGGTCACAAAAAACACAGGTTTGCATGCTCATATCCCCAGAAAAGATGGTGTCCTGTTAGCGAAAGATGGAGGAATAGGACAAGGGCATCTGAGGTTTGAGGGGTCCTATATGCTGTGATTCTCTGAAATGGTAAAGAAGCCCATAAGAACAGCAGATTCAGACAACTTTGGAGTGTGTGATATTTTTCCAGGGAGTCGTTTTATTTATCTTTTTTGTAGCAGAAATCCCTGGGTGAGCCAAACCCATTCTGGACTATCCGATCTTTAATCTCATTAACTCCAGCCTTTCTCCAGCTGCATCAAAGAGGACTGAATTCAACAACAAAAAGCATTAGGCCCTCAGCGTCTTATTGTGCTCTACTGCACAGAAGAGACTTAGATATGCACCCTGCACCATTACACCCATACCAGTGGGAATACTCTCAATAGGCTTTAATACATTTTCAAATGTTAATTCTCAAATTAAATATCAAAGTATTAAACATGAAATGAATAATTAAATAGGTTCTAGTGTTTTAACAGAACAAGCCCATATAGACAAACAGCATACCAAACTAGAAAATATTCAGACACAGGTGGTCTCCTTTACAGATTTTTGTCAGATTTCGCTGTTAATCTAGGTAGAACAGCCTTGAAGAATGAGCCATGCAATTCTGCCTTTAAACTCCTATATGGTATTGGAAACAAATTTGCCTGTTTCCCATCTTAAGTTGGTGTCTGTCTCATTTGTACACACAACAAGCTCTTCAAAGTACAAGTACTCTTACTGTGACTCGAAAAAAGTAGTCTCTGCCTATGAGATATAAGTATCTCATAGATCCAGGAAAAGTGAAGGATGGATAGCCAAGCCCATAATTTAATGTTAGATGATCTTTGGTTGTATGATTTCTTGCCACATTACAGTTGGATAGCAGAAAAGTATATGACATGCCAAACCTGCTGGAGATGTGCTCTCCGCAAGAAAAACTTTTCTCATATGAGTTACAGAGATACCAACAGGAATTTATAAGCACACAATTCCACCCATCACAAATATATGTTGGGATTGCCAGCATAGTGTGACCTGCCACACAGAAAATGCTTAAGGACAGGGTGCACAGTAGCCTCAAAGTTAGTAAATTTGCAGAGAAAATTAAATTGTGTAAGGTTTAGATGAAGAGCCCATAAACACAAAACAGTACTAATACATTCCAGCTGGTCTGAGAATGCAGGCTGAATGCACGCAATAACAGGATAATTTTATTTTGAGATAAATTTCACTCCAGCTTTTACCACAGATTTATGTGGGTTTGGCATATATGTTCCTAACTGTACTTTTAACTTCAAAAGTGGATAATGATCAATTATAGAATCCTATACTGCTGTGGGGAGGCAGGGACAAAGGGTTGGGGACAATGTACTGAGCAGTCCTGGCTTCAGCAGCCAGCATCAATGGCAGTCACAAGCACTGTGCTCTGCCTCTGTGGACTGAACCTGTGACATAGAAAAGACTAGTGAAAAAGTCCACAAGCCCGTGGATCTTTATTAACATGGAGCTTATGTAAATTGCACATTAAATAGGTTACAATACTTCCACTTGGCAAGAAGAGAGCCAACCATCTGGACTGATGTGATTAGCAATGTTCATTCTAATATTCTTTGACTAAAAAGCACAGAGTTTTCTGGAAACAGATATACATGAGGAAAAAAATGGAGGATTTCTTTAAGCTGTATTAATATTGGAAGTTGTGCTGTGTAATTCCAATTCATTTGGGTAATGAGGTGTACTAATTTTTAGACTCAATCTAGTTTAGACACACAGCATGCATATGCCCTGTAATAGGAGTGTTTATTAATTATATTTAATTGTCATCATTTTTCCTAATGATAGTTGTGTTCACCCCTGTTCATTTTTGTTTCTGAAATGGCGATTAGTGAGAACAGGGGACATGGATGAATAGGTAGCTGGAACTAAGGAATTATGGGTATCTGCAGGAGAAAAATCAGCCCTTAGCAATCCAGCCGTCAATACAGTCATCCGGGGCCATCATGCTCCAGTGATTGGGAAAGGAAAGCTTGTCCAAACCCATTGTTGCTCTCCTGGTGGCAAGCAGGCCAGTCATACGGACAAGCTGAGTGCCTTTCATATATGGATGTCTGTACCATGAGCACAGGCTTAATTGGAATTTTTCAATTAGCTGATTGAACATTTTTATGGGGTTAAGTAGTGACAACCTCCACAGCACTTACAGGAGGGGCATTACAGCTTACAGGCCTTAAAAATGCCACCAGTAGGTGGAGAACAAGTGACATGAATCATGTACACATGAGCACACATGCACTCGATCTTGGCACGTTGCTGTAACATGCAGAGTTGCATTTTGTCACCAGGATACCAATCCCATAGTCCTTTCCAGTTGCAACAGAAACATCACCAAGTGCCATGATGACTCTTCATGAGATTGTAGCTTGTATGTTTGCAAAAGCTGTGTTAGAGCCATGATGTAGCCTCCACACATGCTAATGCCCATCTGCAGTGGTTGTATATGTAAGTGTTCTTCAGCTTCTCTGAAGGTACACCATGTATGTTATGCCCAAGTTCAAGACAGGAAAAGGAGGAGAGCTGACGAATACTCTGTGCATCTAATACATCTTTGCACGTTCACTTGCATTTTCTGTTATATCATGATATAGTGAGAAATACTTCCCAATTTCATGAGATAAAACTGTGGTAGAGGGCAGATGTGAGGGCTCTTTGTTGAAGCCCTCTCTTTCTTAGGGCTGGACTTCATAAATTCAATACATACGTGAATACAATGATGAACAATTTAATTGCACAATAAGCTATGGGAGAAAACTGTCTTGAAATCCATCTAGTTCTGTTTACTTTTTTTGAAGTAGCAAACATTTTCCTGTCAGAATAACTGACACAGGCCACATCAAGACCTCTCCAATTCTGAGCCCACACAAAGTCCCTATTTTTCATTTTCTTTTCTTTTTTTTTTTTTTTTTCAACCCTGTGTTTCTGGGAGATTAAGCCCATTAAAAGGAGAAGTGCTGTAGACTACTTTCATTTTGTGTAAGGCTGGGTATTGTTTCCTGTTCTTCCGTCCTGTGGTAAAATGCAGTAACCATGACCATCTTGGACTGCATATTTCTATGTTGCAATTCATTCCCCTTTTGCTTTCTGAGTGTCTTCTATGACAGTGGAAAAAGTGCTGCATCTTGTGGTGCTGCAGCTTTTCTTCATAAGGCCTTCTTCCTGAGAGAAATTCCTGGGCCTTCCAGGAATGTATGTATATACAAAATATGTCATATCTGAAGACTAATAACTGGAACATGTCGGGTAGATTGATAAATAATTTTTAGTGAAAAGATATCTTTTACTGCAAAGATTTCAAAAGGGTTTGAAAAGTGACACATCCTTCTGACACAATGTGACACAGTATCTGTCCATCAGCATGTTCAGTCAGACCCACCAGCCAGGACAAAGGACCACTTGTGCCAGCATGGAATAATTCTATCTTCCTCTCTAGATCAGTGCTTGCATTTCTCTTGCCAACCTTAACTAGATACACAGCATTTTTCAACTGTTCCACAAATACTTTGAATCAGAAAGATGCTGGGTTGGAGGGGAATGAGCAATCGAATTTTGGCAATTGAAATATACTCCCATCTTTGTTCCTCAGTCAGCAACATCCTGTTAACTGTAGTCATGATGACTTGTTTCACATTCCAGTTGGGA